TTGGATGCATATCTTGGCAGAGTATCCCTTGTTGTAAATCCTAGCCAGTATATGTATAGGCCTAACCAGGGACTGTTGTTGTCTTTGATTGCTTTTACTATAAGTTGTTGTTGCATTGCCTGGATTTTTAGTCGAATGTTTGGCACTTTAAGGCCACCATTTTTATGCTCTAGGTTAAAGGTGTTTCGATTAATTGTTTCACTTTTATTTTCCCAGATGAAATTGTAGATTATTTTATTTATGTTTTTAATAATTGAGTTTGAGGGAGTAACTATCCTAGCAAAAAACCATAGTTTGCTGAGTATATAGGTGTTTAAGCTGCATACTTTTTCTTTATATGAAAGAGAGTGATTTTCCCATGTCTGGATGGTTGAATTGATTATTTGAACAAGGGGTAGCCAGTTCTTTTCCATTTTATTTGAGCCAAACCAAATGCCTAGTAATTTTATAGCGTCTGTTTTAATATTAATATTTATATTTACAGGATAGGAGTAGTGTGATGGTTTCCCAACAGAAAGGATTTCAGTTTTATCATGGTTTAGTTTGGAGCCAGATATAGAGCCAAATGTTTTGAATTGTTCGAGGAGAGTGCTGTATGAAGAAAGTCTAGATATTATAGCAGAACAGTCATCTGCATGCTGAAATAATTTAATCTCTGAAGGGTGGTTAGGGATCCTGATGCCTTTTATGAGGATGTTTTTGTTTATGTATGAAGCAAGGGGGTTGATACACAATGAGTATAGAATCATGGATAGTGGACATCCTTGACGAATCGATCGGTTAATTTTAATATTTTGGGAAAAGGATCCATTTACTTGGACTTTACTAATCAAGTTTTTAAACAATATTGTAACCCAGTTAAGGATGTAATTTGGGAAATTAATATGTTTAAGTAGATTTATGATATAGTTGTGTTCAATGCGATCGAAGGCTTTTTCTTGGTCAAATGATAATATATAGGCACTGGACTCATTTGTGTTTATATAATTTAGTATTGTATCTATTGAATATAGGTTATCAAAAATGCTTTTATTTGGTCCAGCTCCTGTTTGTGTATTAGAGATTAATTTGTTAATAACAGAATTTATTCTTGTGCTTAGAATTTTTGTTATGATTTTATAGTCCACACATAACAGGCTTATCGGTCTATAGTTCTTGAGTAATCGATGGTCGCCTTTATTCTTGTAGTTAATTGTTATGATACCAGTTCTCATTGTGTTAGATAATTCCCCCTGTAGATAGATGTTGTTTAATACTTCTGTTAAATCGTTTCCTATAATGTCAAAGAATTTTATGTAGAAATCTCCTGGAATACCATCTATACCCGGGCTACGGTTTGTTCTAAATTTTTATAACGCCTTAAGGACTTCATCTCTAGATATAAAATGTGATATTGAATCTCTTTCCATGTTTGTTAGTGTGTTTATGTCACTGTTTTCGATATAGGACTTCATTAAGTTATCATTAATATTTTGAGAAGTATATAGTTGTTGGTAGAATTGGTGAATTGTGTCTAATATATCTTGTTTATTGTCACAGATTGTATTATTTTGATTGATCAGTTGTTTAATTTGTTTTTTTGCACCCTTTTTAACTTCTGCTAATTTATATATTTTAGAATTAGTAGATACATCAATTTGGGGTATTTCTAATTTTGAACGTATAACGTAGCCTTGTTTGGTATTATATTCTATAAGCTCAATTTTTGATTTAATCTCGTTTATAGAGTTATTCTTACTAGGTATTTCTTTTTCTAGGGATTCCAGTTGTTGATAAAGGTTACTGAGGATATGTTTGTTCTCAACTGCTAAGGCTTGACAGTAATTTTGTGTAATATTTCTAATAGCGGCTTTACCTTTTTCCCACCATTGTATGTTGTCAATGATTTGGTATTTTTTGTTTTGCCAGCTTGACCAGAATGTTTTAATTTGATTTTGGTAGTTTTTATCATCTAGAATAGAATTGTTAAGTTTCCAATATCCTTTACCCCATTTAAGATTGTTAAGGTTGATATTTAGTTCCACTGCTTTATGGTCAGTGAAATGAAGTGGTATATGTTTAATTGATTTGATGTAAGTTGCATATTTATTACTTATGTAAATGCGGTCTAATCTGCTAGCATGTCCTTGTGAGTTGTGATAGGTAAAAAGGGGAGTGTCAGGGGAGATAATTCTGTAACCATCACTTATATTAAGTAGATTTTGTATGTCAAGTAGATATCTTATAGCATCTTTTGGATGGTTATTCATGTTGCCATGTTTGTTATCTTTACTGTTTTCAATAAGGTTAAAATCACCAGTAATAATATAAGAATGTTGTGGATTATGAATAGTTTTGACATATTCAAGAAGTCTCTTGTAGTAATAAGTTTTCAATTCTCTCTTGCAGGGACCATATATATTGAATATTTGAATAGTTTCATTATTTGCATTTACCTCCAGATGTTGGAGCCTACCTGCTAATTCATCAGGTGTATTGTAGAGTTTATGTATAATGTTTGGGCTTAATAATAGGGCAATGCCAATCTTTGTTTCATTATATGCAGTGTATAAGTTATAGCCAGTTTCGTTTTCAACATTTTTTATTTGATGGACATTGGATTTTAGAATTTCTTGTATACAAACAATATCTAGTTTGTTAAATATATTGCTAATTTGTTTAATCTTTTGAAGATTTCCTTGTAGAGCGTTTATGGAGTAAATTAACATAATAATTAGGTAAATAATAGGGATAGAAGGCTTCATTGTTAACTAATATGGTTTCAAGAACTTATAACGTCTTAATTTGTTTGATCTCTAAACTTCTGTTTCGGTAAGCGGGGATTCCGCTCGCGCCCTTTTATCATCTATTTCTGTTTCGGATAAACTATCAAGGCTTCTTTCCCTTTTACTTACTGTGTCACACTTAGTGACTGTAGAGTTATTTAACAATGAGACATCAGCGTCATAGTTAAGATTTGACTGCGATGTTTCAGGGATATCATGGGATGAGTTGTCAATGATACTGTTATCCTCTAAATAACTTTGACCCTCTGAGGATCCTGTGTTAATGGGGGTGGAAGAAACATGACCACTAGATGTATCAATAATAGACTTATTAACATCATTGATAAAATGGCTATCAGGGCTGAGGATAACATTTGTTGTATCGGTAGTGATAGGAATGTCATTGTTGACTACTGTTGTTTTTATGGAGTCTAGAGTAGCTAAGTCCTGGTTTAGACTTCCTGGGTTTGCGGGTTTGACTTGACCAGAATTATAGACATTTGTTTTTGTCGTATTATTTTTTGAGGGGATAATATTATTGACACCAGGGTTATTGTCTTCACTAGGGTCATAACCTAAGACATGGTTATTGATATTTGGGTGCTCATGATTAGGTTCATAAGTATTATCAATATTATGGGTGGGTTCAGTGGCTATATCAGCAGATACTATAGCACTGTTTGGACTAGTTTGGGGTTGAAGGGCAGGAAATTCCATTTGATCATCAGGATTTGGTGCATTGGGGTTGGTTGGCAGACTATATCTTTTGTCTGGTTTTGTACATTCACGGCCAAGATGCCCATGCAGGCCGCAGTTGTAACAAATTTTGCCCCTAGTTTGGCCCTCATATTTAATGGATACATGTATCCCTTTTATATAAATGTGCGATGGAATAGGTTTAAACATTTTTTTTACATAAACAATTCTAACACCGCTTTCGACCGTTGGAAATGGTTTGAAGCAGGATCTGTCACATTTAACCAATTCACAATAGTTCGTCAATTTGTTAACCAGATATTTATTGTCCATTTCGAATGGTAGGCCGAAGACCGCAACAGGAATTGAATCAACAGGGTAGTCCCATGTGATGTTTCCAGCCGACTCTACTGTATAATTGCAATTCTTCACTGAGAAGGTCTTGAGATTCTCAAGAAATAACTCCTTGGCAAGTATATCCTTAAGAGTTAGGCAAAACTTGCCCTTACCTACATTTTGGAGACATTTTATATTGCTGATGTCAAAATCCTTAGCTTGTAGGAAATATAATATGTCTACTGAGGCAATACCAGTGGAGGGGTTATCATCGTCGGGAATCAGTTCAACAGTATTGTCACGAATTATACGGTTTGTTACACTCATCTCCCCATTAGGGTTAATTGTCATCTTTGTCGATTTTATGTAACTCATTGTCAATAAAACACTTCAACAGCTTGTATGTGGTCTTAATTAGAATTTAAAGGTGGTGAATCACGGTGGCCATAGACCGGCCATGACAATATGGCTGACACCAACACTGAGAATTCAAATGTCTTGTCACAGTAGAACTCGAATAGGTTATACAATTATCAACTCTGAGATATTAATCCAGTCTCTACGGGTCTCTCTTGTCCCTCCTTTTGCCTGCTTGTAAACTAGGCTTTTTATATCGGTTAAGGCACGCCATAGTTAATACCATTAGTAATCAGAACAATGAAAAGTAATTATTAAGATTCACACATCTTATCTCTAGACAATGTGTTAATGCTTGTTACCTAAACCTTATATCATAATATACTAGTCTAAGACAAGCCGGCTATACATTGTTCGGGTAACCCATTATATCTTACATAATACTATGAAATAATCCTCACACACCTGATGCAGATTACATTTTACAATTAATCTGTCACATGTCCAAAATGAGTTACAAATGAAAAATATAATTTAAAATATGAATTCAAAATACAATAATAAAATTTAGATCCCAAATGATATTGTATTACAGTATCCAATATTTAAGGCAAAAATCGTGTACCATATTTGTAACAAGGGACTCGAAGAACGAGGCTAGACATTTTCCACAAGTCATGTCAAACGGTGACATCATATTTTTATTTTTATCTGAAGAGCATGCACAATAAATACTATCGGTGTAGACTGGAATAACCATGCGGTAGAGTTTGCCATTCGATTGACACTTCTGGCGTATTTCGCCGAACATAACTGAATTGAAATTAAGAGTAAAAACAGAAACGATTGAATGGAAATTAGTTTATATACATTTATATTACATAATTATATGCGTTGCGACCCATTTGTATCGACTTCTACGTCCCAAATATTAGCGAATTAGCTCCTTTAATTATATGACAACTACACAAATCTGTTCATATTTTATTGATCGTTTTGACCCACCCAAATAGATTGCCAAGGCAGTGGCGTTTCGTCTTTTGACGAGAGATCGAAACCTAATTTGGTCGGAGCTAAATTAAATTTTTGTCACTATTGAAGAACAACAAGAGTACAAAGGGTTAAAGGACATTATTGCATAGAATTACCAAATGACGAACACAAGAATAAACAGTAGATTAACAAACCTTTAGCTTATAAAATCTATATTGAACTTGGTATAAAACAATGTGAAATATAACTACTGCCATTTCATTGAGCAGGTTTAATACTCGATCAAATTAATTATTGTAACCTGTATATTCATATAAGCTTCGTCTACACTAGGCTTGAAAAAGCCGGCTTTTTAAAAACCCGGTTTTTTCAAAACCCGGCTTTTTCAAGAGTAGCGTCTACACTGACTGAACGGAAAAAGACGATGAAAACCGACGTATTCCTTCTTGAGCCGTTTTAACTTGCTTTTGACCTGTTCGGTGGACCGAGAGAAGCCAGCTTCGGCTAATTCAGCGCATATAACCCTGTAAATTTTATTGTCTTTGACAGTTCCATCAAACAAAGCTTGAATGTTCCCCCGCCCCCAAATCTCAATTAGCAATAAGCACTCCTCGTTAACCCATTTTAGGTTAGGCATGTTGAAATTAAATAGGCTAGGCTATAGATGGATTTGAGATTTACCGCAATTTCTTAGAACCGGAAGCAATGCCAATGTTATGAATGTACGGAAGCTCTGGACGAATGACATCCGGGTACTTGATAAATCCCGGATTTACCGTCTACACACATAAAATTGCCGGTTTTTTGAAAAAGCCGGCTTTTTGATTTTGAAAAATCCCTCAATAATTGCCGGATTTTAAAAAGCCGGCTTTTACGATTGAGAAATTGAAAAAGCCGGCTTTTAGGAAAAAACCGGGATTTAAAAGGCTAGTGTAGACGGTGAATGCTGCTAGTGTAGACGTAGCTTAAGCTTACACTATAACACATATGATACAAAATACTGTTCAGTTATCCATCCCATATTTTACCGTAGTCCGAGTCTGGACCTGGGTGGGGGCAAACAAGTAGACCTCCGCAAATACATTTCCTGTACCAGGATTAGAAAATATATATTAAGATATATTCAGTCTGTAGTAATAATGAGACTAAAATGAATTAAAAATATACAAATGGCAGTTCTAATTTGAATTTGATGTTGTTCAAAAGATGCTTCAAAATACTCATATTTTATTTCTTCACCCCATAGCTACGGACTTGCTTCATAAATATGGTAGTTTGGTCCACGTTTTATTTGAGAGGGATAGCGCTGTCTGTTGTTGGGGAGAGTGTGTTCAAGACCGGTATATTTAATCGTATTTATATACGAATCAGAATTCTTGGACCACCCTTCAAATTTTTTTTTTATGCATCAGCTTAATTCTAAAATTATGTTTTTAAGTTTCATCACAAAGTGCCAACCATGTAATTCAAGACGTCCATATAAACTGAAATGAAAATAAACGAAATGTAAATTGAGGTATTCGACGGTCGGACAAACATGATTTTCGATTTGATGTATACACTTTCCACTTCTCGAGTTGTACAAATACTTTCATGGTTTTTAAGTAGTCTAACATAATCTACATGTATCTAGACCAGTGGTTCTCAACCTTTTATTGCCAACGGCACACCTTGGAACACATGGCTAAATATATATGAAAAATATTTGAATTTTACAAAATAAAAACATGTCAAGTCATAGACGGCATACAGCCGTGGACACAGACTAGTCATAGACACATAGAATGACTCATATTAAATAAAGAAAAACACAGCTATGAACTTTCTTCATTGCAGTGTTTCGAATTTCAGAAGTCAAAATGGCGACCTTAGTGAGAAATTTTCTTAGTGCGCCGTTCAAACTTTTCGCGGCACACTTAGGAAGATCTCGCGTCACACTGGTTGAGAATCAGTAATCTAGACCACGGGACTCTGTCAAGACGGTCATCTGAGGAACATCTACACTCATATTCTATCGCTGTTAGATGTTATTGTCTAAAGACTCAACCAAACAGCTTATCTCTGTTTAGGCCAAGTCATTATTGAACTCATAGGCATGACCAGTACTAAATTAATATCAACCTCAATTGTGACGAACGAACCCATTTAAATAGTTTCCTACTTTCTTCCAAATGAAGGCGACAATACTACATGTATTTCTTGTAAAGCCAGTTGTGTCGTTTGTTGTATGCGATGTCACTTACTGTAGAAGTGGGGGTTAAATACCAACCAGGCCGTCAGAAATAATGAACATTATAGAATTGAAGAGAGAGAGACGAGGGGGGGGGGGGGGGTAACGTCCACTCAACACAAACTAGGTCATTTCGGGACTAAAATGGAAAAAGCGCATCCAAGGTAGAGCTGTTCAAAGTGACCGTCCCTGTTGAAAGTATCATTCAAGGGAGATAAGGCATGTGGTCGAAACACAACACACATCCAAAGATGATATAATCATCTAACTTCAAACATTTCACAACGACAAAATAGAGAATATTATGGAAAAATTAAGTTTAAAGTTCGATAGGATTTTTTTTTAGTCTTAAGACAAATTTTCATGTCACCAAATCATTATCAAGTAATATTTTAAAACAATTGTTACACTCACAAGGCGACGTCTTCTGTTCAGCAGGATTTTCCTTATCTGACCCTGATGTATGGCCCTTTTCTTGATGAGCTGCTTTACTAATGTGTATAGAATCAGGTGCATAATCGGTAATTACAATGGTCTGTGGTGTAGACGGTAAGCGATCTTCTTCAGTATCATCTGGTGGTTTCAGCGGAAGGTCTGGGAAACTCGTAGCAGCACCAACTGGGTCCCCTCTAGGACCAGAGGGATTTGAATGAACTTGGGTTGTAGGTGATCTGTATGACAGTCCCCCTGTAGCTCCACCGTGACAGGAAATTCTTTTCGATTGTTTAGATCCACATGCAGCCCCGCTAGGTGGACTTTGTGGTCTACCATCAATGCTAAGGTTGTTCACGTTGGGTACATCTTGTCCCGTAGCTGGTGCACCATCTTCAGCGAGGCTATTAAAGTCTTGGGTTTCTTCAACTGAAATGTAATTGACATACAGAGAGTCTACAATACAACGTGCGTTACGCAACACAACTAAGTCTACAGAATGCGCCCCACCCCACCTCGAATTGTGCAATTAAATGCGCCATCCTACCGGTGGTCGTGGTCATTGGGGCAGATGGCGTATTTACAGCGCCAGTAGGAGGCCTGTAAAAGGAAAATGCACATGTGGTAATAAGCAACGAGATCCATGGGTATTATTCAAGTACTGTTAGACTTTGGTCTGATTGGAAGCTGAGTAATGATGACAGCTTATTCTGACTTGAACAGATTTACTGCTATGGCCATGTGAAGTTGGTGATCAGATTATACAACAAACGATTTTTCTGCCAATGGGAACTGATCCTGCGCCAGTTATGACAAATGTCTAATTATATGAATATAAAAGAAAACCAGTTGATAAAGTAGATATAACATCTATCAATGATATCATCATCTCGGCCTCATGCACACGTTATCAAAACTACAGTGATAATGTCGCCCAACATCATCTCGACATCATGCACACATCTTATCAAAACTACAGTGATAACTTCACCCAACATGATCTTGACCCCATGCATGCATCTGATCAAAACGACAGTGATAACGTCGACCAACATCATCTCGACCCCATGCACACATCTTATCAAAACGACAGCGATAATAACTCCGTCCAAAATAAAGTAATTTGAATGATACTTTCAATATATTCATTTTATATTATAGCGTGAACGATCCTCTCTATATTTAAATCTTATATAATGCTCCTTTATTAGTAAAATATGTTGCTCTATAGAATCAATACGATTAGTATACAATATGTGAAGACAAAGAATTATTTCATTCTGGAATAATCTCCCTTTCTTGTAAAGGAATTTGGAAACTACCAAGATTTGCAATTTCTTTTAAGCATAGGTGATTATATTTTGTGCAACTAAGACACCAATTTTCACCCATTGTAAACCATTATAGGTATTTTCTAAATGCTATCATCGCCTTTTATGGTTGTAACCTAACCGTTGTTTGCCATTCTAGCTAAATGACCATTCAGACCAAGGCTGTTTTCTTGAATTCAGTGCAAGGTTGTCTTGTATCCAATAGACTAATATAGTTTGGAATACCTATAATACTTTGAACCCTATCGATTACAATTTAAAATACTTTATTTTTGGACCAATTGTTCTTTGGGGCGACGCTCCGCGACCAAGTCATCTTAAGTACGTCACATTCGGTTCCTGGTCCTGGTGATATGTCTCATTTCTATAAACAGGTATCGTCAATGTACTGACAGCCGATCATGCCTTACAGCAGAATATTACCATGTTTGGCAACATCCCTTTTATTCGCGGATCGTCTAACTGTGTGCATCGCAGTGTGCGCTTACAACTAGCCCCAAGAACCATGTTAGGCCTATTATGTCTTCCAATGTTCGTTAGGCTTTGTCCTTTACGCGTGTCTTTACGAGGGGGTTGGATGGCCGAATGCTGGTTTTGATCATAAGGTCTGTCATTGAGTGGCGTGGTTTCTATTCCCATCTTATTCGTGACAATGAGTCGGGTTGCCTGCCTGTCAAATCTCGTGGGTTTTCTCTGGGTCGTCCCAGTGCTAGAGACCCCTGTGCAAACGAATTATTGAAAAAACATTGAAAAATATGTTGGCCTCGAATGGCCTAGTTTGTGTCGAGTGGACGTTAAACCCCATTTATCTTTTTTTCTCTGTTTATGTATGAGTGGTGTGGTTCTCTGTAGGACCTACCTGGAATATTGGATTTTGATCTTTTCATCAAAGCTGGAATTGATTTGTTTTCAAGAAAACAGTCTTTTAACCGACACCAATTACCTTCATCATCTTCCCATTTTTCCTCAAAAAATAATATCTGCTCCCTATCTAGCCCTAGATCTTTAGGTATATGCTCCCGTTTTTCACCTATAACAATAGGCAGAACGGTGGCAGTTTTACCGCCATTGATCAGTTTCATAAATGATATTTGCTGGGTGTATTTATGCCAACAATTATCTCTAAAGCCTTTAGTTAAAATGACCACTACTTTCTCGCATGGTTCGATAAACGTAGCTGAATACACTTCAAATAAATTACTTCCTGGAAGAATTTTCTCAAAATAATACCCATCGGTAAAGCCACACCCAGTTAGTTCATCTTCCATTTTCGCTAGAAAAGCTCTAGACAATTTTTGGTCATTATCTCTATGACTTGCTGGACCATCAACATAGTTGTACAGAACACAATAATGATACTTCTTTCCGCTTAATTTCGGCTTTGAAATAACCCTGTCCATTTTTACTCACTGTTTCGTTTTCTGTTCTGAGAGTTGCGTCCCCTTGTATTAGGTCATTTTGCATTAAAGTATCACAAGCTGCTTCAAATGTAGCAAGAGTTTTAAGGACGGGCAGGGAGATTAGGACGGCAATAGACTCCAGCTGGCGGTCATCTGATCCCATGGATTAGTTCCGATTTATCTTACACGCCTGTTGTGTTACAGTTTTGAAATTGTCACCAATAACACCGGTTGTATTATATCACAATGGTTAACTAATGATACATATGTGTCACATTCCTTGACGCCTCGCTTTCGATAATATCGCGTGCAGATAATAAAAGTTCGTCTGCTTTGGTTTCATTTTTAATATGCATGCTACTCTTAATGGAGGTATTGAAACAATAAAATCTTATATGATCTATAGTTGTTTTGGTTTATCTATTACAACAGAGCAACGAATTATTGCGTTGATTATTTAACCGGTCCATAAGTTGCTCTTTCCCATAGAAAAATATCATACATTGTAGTTTAGCTTATTTACTTATGTTACAATTATCTCACAGAAAGACCGGGGAAGTGGACTTACACGGCCGGGAAAGTAGAACTGGGACTTAAAAGAAAACAATATTTGCTTACAATATTATTTATTCGCCCCATCACGTGCGACTTTCTTCGGTCATCTATTTCGAGTGACATGGGTCAATATTCAAATGAGGGGCGAGGGAATTATGTCAAAAGGTTTACAATTTTGGCTTTAAATTACCATCTCCGTCATTGAGTAAAGTGGCGTGGTTTCCTTGTACGGGACAAGGAGTAGATTCGCCTGTTCAACCTCGTTGCCCCTGCCCCCAACCCACTGTTAATGACCCCTGCGCAAAAGAGAATTATTAAGTAAATTTGAACCAAATGTTAGTACCGAAATGGGAAGAGTGGTCGTTAAGATCCAAGAGGAGCACTGCTTCAACACCATTTTATTCACTGACAGTATCACGATTAGGTGATATTTAAAACTATAAACAGTATTAAATTGTTTTTGTGTGTTTATTATAAATCATTGCAGATATTAGACAGGTGTAACTAGATGAAATTATGTAATACTTTAACGAAGAAATTAAAGGTTTAAAGTAGCTAAGTCTCTAACTCAATATCATCCAAAATCTTTGACATTGAAAACAGAATTTATTTGTCGGTTTAAATCAATATTGATTTTGTGATCTTACCGGGAAAAGATGGCCTTCTGATATCCAATATTTAAGAGAAAATAAACCTATTCGTGTACCATAATGCGTTTCAGCGCTATTTGTAATAAGGGACTCGAAAAACGAGGCTAGGCATATTCCACAAGTCATGTCAAACGGTGACCCTACATTCTTATCTGGAGAGCAAGCCCAATAAATAATATCGGCGTAGACTGGAATAACCAGACGCTAGAGATTGAAAATCGATTGAGAATACTGGCGTATTTCGCCGAACCTAATTGATTAAAAATTACAGTAAAACAGAAACGTTTGAATGTAAATCAATTTATATACATTCATATTACATTATAGTATGCGTTGCGACAAATTTGTGTCAATTTCTAAGTCACAAATATTAGCGACTTAGCTCCTTTAAGTTTCAATACAATAAAATGTATGATATACATTGGCCGCCATTTATTTGAGACCGTTTAATTATAGACGGAGATTATAGGTGTATAAAATATTTAAACATATTGTCCTGGGTCCAGAAACTGTGGTAAAAAAACAATAAAATCCACAAACTTGCGAAAACCTGGAATAAAAACGAGATTACAAATGGGTTAAGATGACTGAGGGATTTAATATGAAATAAAAATATATAATATTTTACTGGACTATTGAAGACGAGCATACCTCATAATGCCATGTAGTGTGCTATGCTGTCTTTTTTTGTTTTCCGACCACCCAACATAGAATTTTGTCTCCTAAAGGTTCTTTTATGTTCCTCTTGAATTTGCCTGGTTAGTGTGGAATTAAAATTTCTTATTAATAGATAAAAGAGAATACGTGAATTGAATAATGAAATACGACAACTGGCAAATTATTATTCTAATACCTAACATACAAGATATGGGCAACGATACTAGCGCGTTAGTACTTGGTAATCTAATTCAGTAATTCGCAACCTTGCATTTACTGTAATTGCTAAGATTTCCCATAGGAGCGTAGGCCATATAACAATCTTTAATAGACCCATGAACTCATAGCAAGGTGCTAGCCCAACCCCCTATTAAAACTTACGTGATTTGATTGTTCTGTCCGTAGAACCAGAAAGTGAAGGATGGTCTGTTTCAAGATCTTCTGCATTCGCTTTGTTGGTCTCTTGAACTATAAAGATTAATAAAATCATCATCGTCATCATCACACTAATATCATTTATTGTATTTAGCTAAGGATAGACCAATGTTTCTGATAGTTTACTGTAGCGCCGATTAAGAGCATTTTGACTCTCAATACCAATTACAATAAACTATTTTGGCTTTATGAATTCCTCAAAATGAAAAGAATCCGACGGCGACTGGATAGAAGATAACACCTGGGCTACCAGCAGCGTCACCAGTCGTGTGACTTAAATGTCACATTAACGTTTGCCGAGCCTTGAAGGGAATTGAGTATTATAGGCGATGTCTGTTCCCAGATCCGTTTTCATCCATTTGTAATAAAATATTGTTTACACAAGAAAAAATCCATGAGTGTGAGTATTCGTCCATTAGCGGTTTCAGTTAGACATAAGCTTATACTAACATACTTGGTTTACATATCTTGGTTACTTAGATTTACTCGCCCTAATGTTTTTGCTGCCAAAATAAAATCCTTTGTACTACATCACATTGGTTATTGCAACTCTGAATTTTATTATAATGTTTCTTTATTTAACGGGTGATTCCGCCAATATAGTGAGTGGGGCTCGCCGTGTATTTGAGTATCAGTTCCTATTTCTGGCAAATAATATTGTGGAGATGTGCAAACTATGTAAGTGCAGTTGATCTCTTTTGAAAGGCTATTAACATTTACTAAGTCGGCTGAAAAGATATCATTTTCATACTGTCAAATGACCAGTCATGTTAGAAGGTAAAAACGTACGGTATAAAAAAGGCACCAATCTCTTTCCGCAGTTTAATTTGATAGCTATGGAATTATCTCTAAAATAGGGATACCGATGACAATTTACAGTACGAAAAGCTATTTCATCAACCAGAAGACGGAGTCAACTAATTACTGCTAGTTTTTTAGGGTTTTATTAAACAATTTAAATTTTAGATATGTGTCATTAAACGATTTAAATATATGTGTAGTTGTGTCGTTGAAACAACATAATTATTCCACAATTCAAGGAGAAGGGAGTTTCTGCAACACATTGATTGGTATAAGTTTGATGTTACAATATTTTCGAACGCATTACAGTGGCAAGTGATATAAGAAAAGCTGTTACCTGAGCGGCGAATTGTTGAGAATGACGTGTTTTGGACGAACGCTTTTGTTAACATCCTCCAGGATTCTTTATCATTTTTCCAGTCGGCCTCAAAAAACAAAACATTTGCGGTGTCTAATCCTAGTTCTGGTTTTATGTCCTCTTTCTTGGAAAGACCTAAGGCAACGGGCAGAATTGAGTACACCTTCTTTCACTGCTGCCAGTACGTTGTTTTGTTGCGCAAAGGTATTGAAGGCGTTTTCCATGTACCCTTCAGTTAAAACCATAACCACACGTTCCGAATCCTTTATCATCGTTAAGGGATTGGCGAACTTATTTCTTCCGGGTAACAAATTATCGAAATAATTCAATTTCGTAAATTGCAAGCCATTTAACTTCTGTTCAAGTAATTTCACGAAGTTGTAAGAATTAATCTGATCCTCATCACGTTTACTTGCTGGTCCTTCATGGTGATTGTATAATACGGAGACATGATACATCTTCCCTTCTGGTAACTTTCTCGGGGTACATGATGCACACGCCATTTTAGTTACTTTCGTGTACTTGTAGACTGTTGTGAACCTACCCATTGAAATCACCAGAAATAGACAAAAATGACTCTAAATTCATTCAATGGTGGTTAAAACTATAGTTTCCTATCGAACTACCTTGTATCCTCAAGCCACTACGGTAATAAACAGTGTCCAAGCAGAACATGTTCAAGGTATTGATATAATGAGTTTGATCAATCTCAACCAACTAGAAACAAAGTTATCGTGTTCCAAAGTCTCGGCCAATCAAATTGTTTATCTCTGCTTAGCCTTAGTGGAAAATGCGCATGATCGAACACTGTCAAGTTTGAATATTAAAATATCTCACCCATGACCACTATATCCCAACCATGACCATGTGTTAGTCCCGAAATGACCTAGTTTGTGTCGAGTGAATGTTAAACCTCTCTCTCTCTCAAAGAGAGTGTAGGTCCACTAAACCGATACTAATTCACCAGCTAAAATGGCTAGGTATGCAAAAAGCATAAGAATTGTGTCAATGGATAGAATCCAAATGAAAAGAATAACCTATACCTGTATACGTTGTAAGAATAACCTCTTGTTTACATGCGAAAAAAAAACTATGAAGAATTACTCAAAGAATATTCCCTGGATATATATTCGAAGCCGTCCCCATGTTCCTGAACCACCGACTGCGCGCGAGTTTTCTAAGAATGTAAACGGGGTTTTCCATTAATTGTTAATGGAATGTTGTGTGAATTGAAATGTACGGAAACTGTATATTATATTTGTAAGGATTAAATTAATATACTGAATAATGGTTATCTGATCAGTGTTTTAAATAAAACTAAACTTGAAAAATATTCTTCTACAGGGCTTTATAATGAAGGAATATTTTATAAAAACATAACGATTACAAATTTCGGATATTTAATAAAATTTTCATTTAATTAATAATAAATTACAGTGATTAATTTTTAAAAATGGTTTTATTAATCAATGTATCACTGCCTGCAAGCAATACAAAATTTAATGTTACAAGAAATAGTACCCTACTCAAAAAAATATATATATATTTTGCAGAGATAGATTTGTTTGAAAAGATTTCCATTTACAATGTTCTTTGGGGTGGCTGAAGAAACTTTCTTCCTGACCGGGATCCACCATCCCTTGCAAGAAATTTTCATCCAGCCCTCGTATCTTAATAATCCCGGTTATATTTTTACCTGACCACCGACAATATTCTTTGATTTTCACCTTGGGGGATAATAGTAATATTGGGCATATATTCATGGTTTTTAATACTATAATACTTAAGACCTCGTGCAATAACATTTTATAGAAAACTCGTTTTAGTTAATGATTGATTTATTCTAAAAATGCAGCCGAAAAAGAATATTTTCGGGCAAATAGCCTCAGCCCCCACCCCACCCCCAAAACAGAGATTGTCCTCCTCATGGACAGGTAGTAAAAAGAATTTTAAAAACACTTGTAAACCTGTCACGTTAAAATGATCTCTCCAGGTTTTGCTATACCGGAATAACTTGCGATCTGAAAGCTTTGGGCGGCTCATCTGGTGAGTCTATGATTCCTCGGTCGTCGTAAAATACCAATTGGGTGCTACTGTTCACGTGTCTGCAGAAAACGTAGCTATAAGTTCGGGAATTGTGAAGTAATCTGCGATATCACCTCAGTGAAAGCGGACGTAAAATACAACTAACTAAGTAAGTAATCTAGCTTGTCTGCGATATCTCTTCTGGGGAAGCGGGCGTTAAAACACCAGGTAGTAGTAGTAATCTAGCAACGTCCAGATGTTGTAAAACTCGCGCGCAGTCGGTGGTTCAGGAACATAGGGACGGCTTCGAATATATATCCAGGGGATATTCTTCGAGTATTTCTTCATAGTTTTATTTTCGCATTGAAACATGAGGTTATTCTTACAACGTATACAGGTATGGGTTATTCTTTTCATTTGGATTCTATCCATTGACACAATTCTTATGCTTTTTGCATACCTAGCCATTTTAGCTGGTGAATTAGTATCGGTTTAGTGGACCTACACTCTCTTTGAGAGAGAGAGAGGGGGGGGGGTAAAGTTATGGAACACGATAACTTTGTTTCAAGTTGGTTGGGATTGATCAAACTCATTATATCAATACCTTGAACATGTTCTGCTCAGACACTGTTTATTACCGTAGTGGCTTGAGGATACAAGATAGTTCGATAGAAAACTATAGTTATAACCACCATTTCTATAGCAGAACTTATGAATTTAGAGTCATTTTTGTCTATTTCTGGTGATTTCAATGGGTAGGTTCACAACATGGTCTGGTACGAACTACGAAGACAATAATAATACTACAGTTGTAGTTCTTATGTCTATGATTCATTCAATGATTGTACTTGTTGGTGAGAAAAGTTTGTGTCAACCATGTGATCAGGCTTAGAACTTTTCAGACTTAGAATTTTTCAAAATATGGTAGTTCTAGCAAAAACATGGTAGACATGTTGGTGGTTATTTACATGTGTTGTAACTGAAGGGATTTCTGGATTTTTTCGCGATAATATTCGGGATGTCTATGTAAACGCAACATTCTATTAGATAACTAATGCTGTAAATGCGAAGTCCATACAGCATAAATAAAAAGAACAGACGACCCACAGTACAACTGTCAACGCATGATATCAATATAAACGAGCACCGTTCATTGCTCATCGTACATTGCAACTCGGCAAATGATTTCTACAATTGCATTACGGTGATATGTACAGCTGATGTTTCGCATTACGTTTTTCTTGTAATTTAATGTTTTTGTTTTCATTGTTGAATAAAATTATTACAAGCCCGGTCTATACAGCGCAGTGGAAATGAAATGGTCTAATGAAGATAGACAGGCCAGTAAATGCTTACGGCTAACTCCCGGATAATTTTACTTGAATTGATATATATATACATATGGTTGTTGTTTATTACTTGCAGAGGTTGGGTGGCAAATCAAAACCGATAAGACAAACAACGGGACGGGGAAGACATTGCAAGAAATAAACAACAAATATCAAACCAAGTGAATAGATCTGGGGGCCAGCTGTAAGCTTCTATTGTGCTGTACGTATGTATAGGATAGGGTCTGTAATGATGCAGGCTTCACTTAAATAAATGATTTACGTTAGAGAAATAATTCGACCGATCTTAACAGTGACCATCTCTTGAAGAATGAGTTACTCGTTATTGTGAGTAAGACGTTGGCTCGCTAACCCGGAGGTGTTCATCGGGATTTTATGACGTGGTTTACACTTGTCAGTGGTGAAGGACACAGGTCAACATATACAGTAACTTGAATACTGAATGAAATAACCGAAGATATCGAGATATGTCGCGCAAGAAGGGGAAACAACTGCCCCAAATTCACCTTTAATCAAGTGCTTCAACTTCCTTAAAGCTGGACTCCGATTACAAAACTACAGAAATAATTAAATAAAAAACATTAACGCCCTAAATAATCGCCATACTTTTCAAGTTGTAGAACAATCATGCCTTATCAACCATACTGTCCACATCCGGCTAGCAATATTTCAGCTGACTGATTGACGTTTTTTCACTATCAGTTTACTGAAAATATTATTGCTACACTGTTATTATGTCTAATCAGGTACATATTATTTTACTAATTAGACGAAATAAGTAGACCACGGTGTACGTTTGCTCTAAAAAAATATGGTAAAACTGCCTTACCCCAAACAATAACAAATCTACCACACCAACAATTGTTTTCCTATTTCTTGAAATGTTTTGTACAACAGCGTGGAAACACCAAATAATTTCTAGTATTATAAAGTCTATTATTATCGTTCCAAAATATATCCAAAGCAGCAATAAAACTGTTGTTCTCTCCATCAAAGAAGTGTGATTTCACTTCAAAATATGGGGGATCACGTTCCTAAGTGGGTAAGACGCTGGCTCGCTAGCCAGGAGGTCGGGCCCTGCATTGGCCGAGAAAGTTCATCCAGATTTTCCGGCGCGGTTTCCCCTTGGCAGTGATGCAGGGCGGAGGGCCTGACAAGGACAGCTGTCTAGTTCTTCGGATGAGACGAAAAACTGAGGTCCCGTGTATATATTGAAATGCACGTAAAAGATCCCCTGGCAGTTTGAATTCGATAAAAGAGTAGGCGATAGTGCCGCTGCCCGGGCAAAATTTCCCTCATAGCACACTGTATGGCGTATGCCCGTCTTCATTAGCCCAGTATAGGAGCAGAACAGTAGGACGTTAAACCCCATTTCATTTCATTTCATTTACTTCAAAATATTCACCATCTTGTGAAGGAGTTATGTCCCTTGATGTTATGTCAACAATATAGAATTCGTTGGTGTTGGTAGAATTGTTATTGTTTGAGGTAAGGCAGTTGTTTTGTTTCTTATTTTTAGAGCAAAAGTATACAGTGGTTTACTTATTTCGTCTAATTAGTAAAATAATATGTCCCTGATCAGATATAATAATTCTGTAGCAATAATAAACTGTTGGTGAAAAAACGTCAATCAGTCAGGAGGGAATTGGTAGTAGAAATATTGCTAGCCGGATGTAGACAGTGTGTTTGACAAGGCATGAACTGGATGTGGGCGTGGCATGCCTTTGGTTTTGTACACCGTACAATCGCCATGATTGTTCTACAACTTGAAAACAAGTATGGCGATTATTTAGGGTGTTAATTTTTTTTTATTTGCTTATTTCTGTAGTTTTGTAATCGGAGTTCAGCTTTGAAATAGCCTCGTTGCACGTACGGGTTTTTAGTAGAGGCGGTGTTGCACGAGGGAGACTTTAGTAGAGGGAGGGAACCGGTGGGACCACCTTGTTGCACGTAAGGGTTTAGTAGCTTAGGGAAACCGAGAGGATGGAAATAACACAACTTATGAATGCCTTTAACTTATGATCAAAAGCGCATGCGTTAATCTACTATCAACCGAAGATTTTATGTCACCTAAACCAAAACTAATCAGCAGTAAAAAGAGAGAAATGGGGTTTAACATCCACTCGACACAAACTAGGTCATTTCGGGACTAACATATGGTTTAATTTTATTTCAATAATTCGCTTGCGCGTAGGGGTCTTGAGCAGTGGGAGAAAAACCGGAGGACCCGGAGAAAACCCACGAGGTTGGACAGGTGACACCACTCCTTGTCACGTACAACGCCAGTTGACTCGATGACAGTCTTATGATACAGCGCGCACGTGCTAGCCATTCGGTAATCCAACCCCTCAACCAGCAGTAAATGACCGCTTAGTCGCTACTATCACTTACAGGGATGAGAGAGATAAATGGGGTTTAACGTCCACTCGACACAAACTAGGTCATTTCGGGACTAACGTATGGTTTAATTTTATTTCAATAATTCGCTTGCGCGTAGGGGGTCTTTAGCATGTAGGGGAAACTGGAGGACACGGAGAAAACCCACGAGATTGGACAGGCGACCTTACTCCTTGCCACGTACAACCGGGGATTCGAAACCACGCCAGTTGACTCAATGACAGGCCTCTTGTTCGATTACCGATCCGTGGATCCTTGTTATCTCTCTACTCGGATAGAGTTACGTCCCTTTTCGGACATCATGTTCAATGGTTAGTGTTGTATAAATCTAAATACACAACAAATAATTATAGTTGAAAATAGTTTATTAACATGATTAATACAGACAGATTGTAACAGTTTGTTTCATTATAACTTGGCAATAAGAATAACAATATAATCATTATCGTCAGCCAGGAATCAACCCTGCTTTAATACAAGACTTGATACAACATCATCGTCAACCAGGATTTAACCCTGTTTTAATAACCGTATAATCCGTTTCTATAAACATTATTATTCATTTACAATATGACATATTTTAACAACCCTCAGAAAATTCTAAATTTACACATTTTTGAAACTGATGAAGAAATGAACATGGCGAATTCTAAACTAACAATTTTTCATAGGAAACAGACGAGTGACTGACTGACATCCACATCTCCAACAGATTGCTGCGCCTGGATGATGGAGATAGGATATATGCCATTTGTTGACCTTCTCATCATGTATTGTTGTATGGATGTATAGAAAATAAAATGAAAGTACGGTCTAATTTAATTGGACTGGATAATGTCGCTATTGAATTTGGTAGTCATTATGTGCTGGTGAATCTTATTAAATGCCAGAGATCAACTCTATCTTCACTCAGCCATTATGCTACATATTTATAATGCATTTTATTTCAACAAATCGAAACACCGAGATAATTCCGTTTTGTCGAGGATTTAACTCATTCAATATACAAATGGCGGAATAAACCGAGTGGTTCGAAGTGTTTAAGTATAACAACAAATCGAGGTTACTATAGAAACTAGATAATGGTTAAGAAATAAAACTGTAGCCTTAAATCCAAACAAATTCAATTATCAGATCCTATTGAAATAATTTTTATTATGTATGATGGTTATAATCTAACAAACCAAAATAATTCTTGTAAACAGATCATCAGACCGAGTTATTAATTATGAATATTTAAGTGGGCGTGACAAGATATAATACAATCTCCGTGCAGCTTGCAGACGTTCTTATGCTTTAGCCTGAAAAGCGGCTCGGAGTTTTCTTTCTCCTAATGGCAGTGGTGGACGATAATTATCAACAATGGCGTCACTTCCGCACTCACCACAACACAGACCTCTGAATGCGTCGATCTGAAAAGAAACAAAATAATTTAATGAGTATTGCGCAGTATTTTGAACCGGAAGCAAATAATAGAATGGGAATAGGTAAAGGAATTCGGGATATTTTTATCCGCCATTTCTATGCTAAGTATGATATCCTTCGTTGAGTTCTATTGGGACCACTCGATTGGGACTCCTCAACCCCTTGGAATGTATAAGTTCGAGGCTACTTGCCATCCGCCAAAGACTGCAGATTATATTATCTTCACGATTCTGGTCACACCGCATCTATTTTCGGGGACACCACAGTGACTCAGTGAGTAAAACACTAACCAAGGACAGTGACTAGTAGTTCGGACGGGGCAATAAACCAAGGTCCTGTGTACACATTGACGTACACGTAACAGAACCAATGGAAATAAGAATTCGAAATAAGAGTAGGTCGTAGAGCAGCTAAAAGATCCCTCATAGTATCTTTTATGATATAAGCGTATGTCCGTTTTCATTAGGGGATCACGTGGCTAAGTGGGTAAGACGCTAGCTCGCTAGCCTGGAGGTCGGGTGTTCGATCCCTGCATTGGCTGAGAAAGTTCATCCAGATTTTCCGGCGTGGTTCTCCCTTGTCAGTGATGCAGGACGGAGGGGCTGACAAGGAAAGCTGTCTAGTCGTTCGGATGGGACGAAAAACCGAGGTCCCGTGTACACATTGGCGTGCACGTAAAGTATCCCTTGGCAGTTGGAATTCGATATAAGAGTAGGCCGTAGTGCCGCTGTCCGGGCAAAATTTCCCTCATAGCACACTGTATGGCGTATGCCCGTCTTCATTAGCCCAGGTTAGGAGCAGAACAGTAGGACGTTAAACCCCATTTCATTTCATTTCCGTTTTCATTAGCCCGGACGGTGTAGGAAGTTAAACCCCATTTCATTCATTTCATCGGTTTTCGGGCTCGGCAAATGTCGACAGAGCTCACTTTCTCGTCACTTTATTGTCAATCTGTTAATACGGAAAGTTGAGATACTTTATTAAGTTGAGCTGGATAAATGTATTTGTTAAGGCCAGCTTTATTTTTGTCAAGGTCGCTGAGATGAAAATAAGGTTAGGACACCTTATTTGGCGAGATTGTTGGTTAGGGTAAGCATTACGGCTAGGTTCAGGGTTAGAGTTGGGATTAGAGCTAGCCCTGTTTACATCTTGTGACCTTAGACCAAACTTGAGGTTGGCCTTATCAGATAGATCTAACCAGAGAGAGAGAGAGAAATGGGGTTTAACGTCCACTCGACACAAACTAGGTCATTTCGGGACTAACACATGGTTCAATTTTATTTCAATAATTCGCATGCGCGTAGGGGTGTTTAGCAGTGGGAGGAAACCGGAGGACCCGGAGAAAACCCACAAGGTTGGACAGGCAACCCTACTCCTTGTCACGTACAACCGGGGAATCGAAATCCCGCCAGTTGACTCAATGACAGACCGTATGATACAGCGCGCGCGTGCTAACCATTCGGCCACCCCACCCCCTAGATCTAATCAAGTTGAGCTACTGACCTGATCCTGTGAAACTGTTATAGGTTCCTCAAACACAATCCACGTGACACTTTCACAACATGGAGGCGTGGTCAATGATCCCAGATATGTCCAATAATTATTGGTATTAGCTGTAAGGTAAGTTAAACATGAATAAAACAAGGTATACTTTGTTTTTATTTTTATTTAATAAACAAATACTGTTATTTAATAACAGAGAGAGAGAGAGAGAGAGAGAGAGAGAGAGAGAGAGAGAGAGAGAAAAACTAGTTAATTTCGGGACTAACACATGGTTCGATTTTAATTCAATAATTTGCTTGTGCGTAGGGATCCTTAGCAGTGGGAGGAAATCGGAGGACCCGGAGAAAATCCACGAGGTTTGACAGGCGACTCTACTACTTGTCACGTACAACTGGGGAATCTAAACAACGCCAGTTGACTCAGTAACAGACCTATGGTACAGCGCGCGAGTGCTAACCATTCGGCCATCAAACCCCCTATTTAATATAAAATACTTTTATTAAATATAAAATACCCATATTAACTTGTAATACTGTTATAATAATTTACCTGGTAATAAACAGATGGGGTTAAATTCTTGGCTTAAATTAATACTTTTATTTTTATATTGAACTTGGTTAAACAGATCTGTCAGTGTTTTTAAACCGGGATGGGGTTTGTCAGATATCTGAAATAAAACAAAAATAGTTCACATTTTGTTCTATCGATCGAACAATGGCGTTGAATATTTCTTTTAAAGTAAGGTGATTGTTGCGGCACCCATGCGCACAATTCCTCACCATATGAATCACCATAATTAAAATATCAATATGACCCAAGTTAAAAATGCTGAAGAGACGTTAAATCTCATTACATGTCTAAGAGTAATGGAATCAATTTGTTCTTGGTTTTATGAGTGGAAATGGAATCATCTGTTGCCGTCTGACTTTATGATAAACTGCTACCGTTGATTTGTAGCATATTTAAGCAACTGAACGGGTTTGGAACTGGTTAAGTAATATGACTATAAGGTAGTGTATATGTTTAAAACTGACTGAGCTATATGAAAGGGATTTAAACATGACGCAAAACGCATCACCTTGTAATGTGTTGTAAATATTTGTAGCTACATACCTGTAAGAAAATACCAAATACGGCCAAACCATCGGGTTTATCTACAGCTTCACCAAAACTAGAATATTTACTAGAATTATAGTGGACTAAATGTAACTGAAAAAAATAAAATACAATCAATTATAGTAAATATTTCACACTTTTCTCCATATATAAAACTAACTCATATTTATCAATGATTCCAACAAATTTTCAAATCGGTGAATCTTAAAGTACTTCATATACAATTTCCTCGTGCAGAATAGAAAGCGTGTTATTAATCTAAAACTGGGTGTATTTAAATAGACTGGGTTTTGGGGGTGGGGATAAATAAATAAAGCTGGCTGTTTTGGCCAGATTTAAATAAACAGACTGTTTGGGTAGGGGGGGGGGGGCTGTTTGTTTTGGAGGGGTATGGGGTGGGATAAATAAATAAAACGGGCTGTTTTTTGTTGGGTATTTTTTTTTGGGGGGGGGGGAAGGGGGGCGGGTGGGGGGGGGATAAATAAATGAAACTGGCTGTTTTGGCTAGATTTAAATAAACAGGCTGGCTGTTTGGGGTGGCTGTTTTTGGAGGGTGTTGTGGATGTAAATAAATAAAATACATACCTCAGCAGGGTACATTGTTCCGTTAACAGTATGTTCTGAGCCCTGTTTATTATCGGAACCCCAGTGAAGATGGAATTGTTCTAGTCTGTATTCTCCTTCCAGTGGACCGCCCTTAATAACTGAATAACACGAAGAAATCATAAACATAGAGTCATCTCCCTTCAACAATCGTTTGTCAGTCTCGAAAATCCAGAGATGCAATTGAGTGACGCAGAATCCAGTCCCATCACAGTTCTGTCAGTCCCGACAAAGGTGGTGTTAGTAAAACGGTGACGTAATTATCACTCAATTATCACTATTTTGGGGATTGAGAAAATGTAATTCTCGAGCGTTTAATCCTGTTCTAAACTATAACTGTTCAATTATGATGATGTCAAAGCAAACTGTTTTACCAGGATGATGTGAAAGCAAACTGTTCTACGAGAATGATGTCCAATTAAACTGTTTTACGAGGATGATGTCCAAGCAAACTGTTTAACGAAGATGGTGTGAAAGCAAACTGTTTTACGAGGATGATGTCCAAGCAAACTGTTCTACGCGGATGATGTCCAAGTAAACTGTTTTACGAGGATGATGTCCAAGCGAACGGTTCTACGAGGATGAAGTCCAAGCGAACGGTTCTACGAGGATGATGTCCAAGCGGCGTGTTATAAACATGTAGATGACATGCGCCATTAAGGATTAATTGAGTTGTTAACACGGTGGATGGGGGTGGGGTAACAATTCGTCCGTGCGACAGATTGTGGATGTGATAATACATCGAAGACTGTTTATAGGATCTAGAGAGAGATGGGGTTTAACGTCCACTCGACACAAACTAGGTCATTTCGGGACTAACATATGGTTTAATTTTATTTCAATAATTCGCTCGCACGTAGGGGTCTTTAGCAGTGGGATGAAACCGGATTATAGGATCTGGTCAATAATAATAGATAATAAAATAAAACTTACCACTCTTTTTTGTGATGTTGGCTTTAACACTTAGACCAGGGTTGCACAGTTCCATGGCGTTTTCCGGCTCGTATTGAATGGAAAATGGTGTTGAAGCCAAGGCAGCGTCATATTCAGCAGCTGTAGGTGTGATATCGATAGGTGATTGACGAGCGCCAGCAGCTATGGGAAATGACTGAGCCCAGGTGCAGGGTCCTAAAAATACAGAAAATTTAAAATGTTTAACGTAAATGTTTAAAGTAAATAAGACCAAGCGGTGTCCAAACATTTTATACGCCGAACAGACGCTTTTCAATTTCGTCCCCACCCTACTAGAAAATACTATTGCTGTCCGCAGGCTTTCTCATCCGTACTTACTGTACGGATGGATTTACGTCCTACTGTTCTGCTCCTATATTGGGCTAATGAAGATAGGCATACGCCATATGAGGGACATTTTGCCTGGGCAGTGGCACTATGGCCTACTCTTATTATCGATTTCCAACTGCCAAGGGACCCCAGTTTTTCGTGCCATCCGAACGACTAGACGCTGTCCTTGTCCGGTCCTCCGTCCTACACGGAAAATCCCGGTGAATTTTCTCGGTGAATGCAGGGGTCGATCAAACAACCTTCAGGATAGCGACCCAGCGTCTTACCCACTTAGCCACCGTGGATCTGACATTTATTGAGAACAATAATAAAACCGGTAGCTTTGGATAATATTTACTAAGTCTATTGCCTGCAACGTTTATATGAGTTAATAGACATGGTGAATATTATCTATATTATTACAACTTGTTCATCATTGAAACATTGAAAACATGTCGATCCTATCAATGACAAATAAACCTTGTTTATCTGGAACATGTTGTCAATAACATTAAACGATTCTATGATAAATTACGCCATTTAGAGATCAATTTCCATGTTGGTATAAACTAGAATATCATTTCTCGATGAGCATTTTAATATTTATATTTTAGTGCTAATGCCATGTTATTGATAGCTATCGATGTATTATTATATGATTAAATATTTACAGTCAATATGAAATGAATAGATGGATGATTCCATTATATAAAAAAGAACATCAATGATGTTATCCAGTTCGTATTATCTTACATCGTAGTTAAAGTGGTATTATGGAAGATTGGATAAAGAGTTGACAGTTCTCGCTATAATAGTTAAAAAATAGATAATGTAAATAGAAAATGCTAACAATTGCTCCACTTTGAACTGAGATATTAGTTTTTGGATTTTAGGCGGCTAGCCTAGATCATCATTACTAAAGTTCGTACAATAAAAAAACAGTCTCGATTGTCCACTTTTACGTTTAATTATTCTTCAAAAAATGTATTTCAATCCGTTAAATATCGCAGGCTAGCGATGCCATCGAGAGAAGGTTATGGTCTGGATAAGTTAATAAATGTCTAATTAATAATTTAGATAACAATTCAGGCCTAAAGAAAGATCTGCAATAGGCAGATTTAGCTCTAGTATAATGTATGTATAATGGAATGGGGTTTATCGTCTCATCAACACAATATGCGGTAATTTACAATTATAAGAAATCACCTGTGAACGGATACGAATATAATATTTCCTGATTAGGGGATTGACTAGAGGGGTGTTACCCGTGCACCTTAGATCGTACGGTCCGTCATTGAGTCGTGTGTTTCGGTTCCAGGCCTGTACGTGACAATGAGAACGGTCAATTGTCAAACAGCTGTGTTGACAACAGGTATCCGTCTCACGCAGGTTTCCATCTGGATTTCAAAAGATAATTAAGAAAATTGTATTATGCCAATATTAGAATCATTACTATTGATATTTACTGCAGGTAAAACGGGATGAATTATATTGTTACCTGTATCTAGGTGCGTTTTAATCATGTTTATTTACCTTGTTACCTGTATCTAGGTGTTTCCAGACAATGTTATATTCATTGATTGGCGATTAACATTGATTTTATTATCAATAACGTACAGTAAATTTTACTCGTGTATTCCTGCCACTTATATTCTTGTATTCGTTGGTTTAACATGAAGGCGTATTATAGAGAGAAAGAGAAATGGAGTTTAACGTCCACTCGACACAGACTTGGTCATTTTAATTTTATATCAATAATTCGCTTGCGCGTAGGGCTCTTTGGCAGTGGGAGGAAACCGGAGGAGCCGGAAAAAACCCACGAGGTTGGACAGGTGACCCTACCCCTTGTCACTTACAACCGGGGATTCGAAACCCTGCCAGTTGACTCAATGACAGACCTTATGATACAGTGCGCACGTGCTAACCATTCGGCCATCCAACCCCCATATGAAGGCGTATTAAAACAAGGGATATTTAACGTGCACTACCAAATCATACTTGAGGATGTAAAGCGGAGACGGTTCATCACCCGACCACCCAACCACACAGATATATTTGGTCTTTTTACTGGTTTATTCTGAGTTACCCAAGTGGACTAAGAGATACAAATCATATTTATTTTTTACTTTCTGCGCTGGTACGACAAACACAAAACAGATATAAAGTTGTTTTAATATGGCTATCAAATTCTAACTTGTAATGGAGATGGTTTATTGAAAACTTAAATAAACAAAGCTGAATAGGGTTGGTTTAGTTTTTTAGTTATGTTTACAATATATCAAGTGTCTTCTCCTAATGCCATTTCGCCCACCGCATAGCTATATATACAATACGGCCAAGTTGCCTCACAAGACGATATCATTCAATAACCAAGTATATCAATAATACACTGGCGTTCAGTTCACTTCATTACTAGGAGGAGATCTGAAAACGTGATTAATGGGAGGAGATCTGAATACTTCATTACTGGGAGGAGATCTGAAAACTTCATTATTGGGAGGGGGATCTAAAAACTTCATTATTGGGGGGAGATCTGAAAACTTCAGTTCATTCTTTTAACAATGCATTTCTAGAGAACCGCAACAAGATTGTTGGGGGTAGGGGTGGGGGGTAGGGGTGGGGGTATCTAGAGAACCACAATGAGGTTGTTGGGGGTAGGGGTGGGGGTATCTAGAGAACCACAACAAGATTGTTGGGGTAGGGGTGGGGGTATCTAGAGAACCACAATGAGGTTGTTGGGGGTAGGGGTGGGGGTATCTAGAGAACCACAATGAGGTTGTTGGGGGTAGGGGTGGGGGTATCTAGAGAACCACAACAAGATTGTTGGGGGTAGGGGTGGGGGTATCTAGAGAACCACAATGAGGTAAGGGGAATACCCATGGGAACCACAATTAAAGAAGGTTGATGGGAGAGAGAAACTATAGAAAACTAAAAGATATTTATTGTAATAAGTAGAATGTATAGGAAAAGATCAACCAGCTAGAATATTTTACAATATGGCATGTTAACCAGATAAAGAATGTTCCTCTCCTTGAAGGTCGTTTCTTCTTATTCTTATAACAAACACATGAGGTCTAACCACCATTTTAAGACAAGGGTCAGGAGTTGACATATTGTATAAGTTACCGTGTAATACAACGGCCAAGATAATCATGCGTAGACCATTCGTGTGCCTCTGTTACTTCATAACATATCATGAGTTATAGGTGTGTGGCGGGTGGGGGTGGGATACTATAGGTGTGGGGAGGACTCTACAGGATAATCCGGAGTGGTGGGCGGCGTACCCTTGCCTGCATCCCTTCCTACCCCTGTGTCCACCAGACCAAATATAGATCGCCAACTATCTAAAAGATATAATTGCAGGAATCGTTTCTATATAATTGTTGAGAACTCATGATAATTGGACGGTTGTTGAGTTGAGAAAGTTCAGGGTCGTTACTACAGACAACTGAAGGTCATCAAATACAACTCACATTACATTCTCCATAACGGTGATGTAACACAATGATTACAACCCTCAAAATATAAATCACAGCCAATACACCGCTTGTACATGGTGATATTACTGGGCAAATCCATTATAACACATTTACCGTATTGTTATAAATAAACACTCGGAACAATACATAGTAGCATTCCACTTAACTAGCCAAATTCACAATCAATTTACAGAAATAGAGTCTTAGGGTACAAATGAACGCTATCTCCATTGAGAGAGTACACAAAACACATGAATTCTACCTTGCACGTCCCTGTGAGTACAAATCAATTCTAGCTTCCTGGGGGTACACAAAATGTTACCACAATGCGTTTTGGACTCGTTTTGCTAATATAAATTGCCGGAAGATAATTGAGACTGCAATCTCCTTATTTTATGAGATACAAGAGGCTATAATTAATTCCACTGCCGGTTTATAATTAAAGGTCAAATATTGGTTTTTATAAAGCAAATGTCAAGGTGATGGACCAATGACATTTATACTATCTTTACAGTCCAAACTGTTAATAATCGGGTGTTCGATCCCTGCATAGGCCAGATTTTCCGGCATGGTTACCCCTTGTCAGTGATGCAGGACGGAGGGCTCGACAGGAACAGCTGTCTAGTCGTTCGGGTGGGACGAAAAACCGAGTTCCCGTGTACACCTTGGCGTGCACGTGAAAGATCACTTGAAAGTTGGAATTCGATATAAGAGTAGGCTGTAGTGCCGCTGTCCGAGTAAAATTTCCCTCATAGCACACTGTATGGCGTATGTCTGTCTTCATTTAGCCTGTTCGGAGCAGAACACTAGGACGTTAAAGTCTACTTCATTTCGTTTCATTTGTGTTAATAATCTTTATAATACAGGATAAGTATATAACGTACAGATTGATATCAGTTTTATAATACACGATATGTAACTTAATACTCGAAGACAAACACAAAATAATCTTAATCTTTGACCTCACTTCACTTATAAACAATACACAGTGAAACCCTTCTATTACGCCCAGTCGTGGAACAGATATAAAGTGTTCCCAATAAAAGAGTATTACACATTTCCTATTACACAAGCAATTAAACCAAATAATATCTTGGTTCTAGAAACATTAAGCATATGCTGCTTGTGTACAACACCTGGTAATTAATATATTTCTAAATATATCTATATTATACTATAAATCTCCTTTCAAAACAATAGGCAACACGTGTTTTAATATTATATATCTGTCTCTATGAATTGAGTGTCTATATTTACTTGTGTGTCAGCTGTTTTCTTGTTAATACAATCCACAAACAGCTGGAACTATATAATCCTTTCAGATAAATTAGGACATTTATTCCACCCTTAAAATAGTATTTTTACTAGAAATGTGAAAGTTTCTTATCATACCTTATATCTGGTACGTTACATACGACTATCGTGTCATGGTCCTGGGCTACTCGTTCTACTTATATTTTGGAATTTGATATAGACGTGCGACATACCGTATGCGTATTGCCCAGCTTTGTTAATTTTCTAATCTTATACTAAGCCGCCCGCTTCCATAGTCCACGGCGTAAAGCTGTTGGCTGTCGTGGTATATAAAATAAAATGAAATAGGGTTTAACGTCCTACTGGGCTAATGAAGACGGGCATATGCCATACAGTGTTATGAGGACAATTTTCCCCGCGGAGCGAGACTATAACCTACTCTTATATCGAATTCCAAATGCCAAGGGATCGTTTTCGTCCCATCCGAACTACTATACGTTTTTCCTCTTGAGGCCCTGGTCCACTGACATGGGGTTGAAGAGGGGGGGGGGGACGCTAAAAACAACGCATGAATCGAACAGGAGATCTCCAAGTTAACGAGCCAAGTCCTACTCACTGAGCCACCGTGGCTCGTTGATACATAAAAGTCAGGTATTTGAACACTTGGTGAACTATGTATGTAAGTAACATATGTATGATAATTAAAGGTCAACTGGTAGTAGATTACTATATGTAACAACATCTATTTAACATAAGATCTGTTCAAGCTGTTAACACGGTCTTGCTATCGTAGCCATTATAACAGTATTATCAATATCAAGACGTTTTTAGTCAGCTTACAAAGTGGTGTACAAAAAGTGTGAATTGTATCAAATACCGTAAATAGTAGGAGGGTTTAACATCCATTCGACACAAACTAGGTCATTTCGGGACTAACATAAGGTTCAATTTATTTCAGTCATTCGCTTGCGCGTAGGATTTCTTTTTGGCAGTATGGGGGGAACTGGAGGACCTGAAGCAAATCCACAAGGTTGGACAGGCGACCCCACGCCTTGGGGAATCGAAACCACGCCAATAACAGGACCTACAGCTCATCCGTTAAATTATTCGGTTACTCAATCCTCTAAAATTTCTTTTGATTTTCTTTTTTAAAAAAGGGTTTATATCATATTATTTGAATAACATTCAGACATTCTTTTAAAATTCTATTCTTAAAAATAAAATGTCTAGGTGTGGTTGGAATTAATTAAATAGAAATATGATATAAGGGTTTGATTTAGTTTTTACTCTGATAAAATCCAGAAATCTTTAGAACTGTTATCGGACGAGTGCGCATGACGAAGGTGTCAACAAGCGTTCTATTGATGACGTTATCGTGATAGATACAGATTGGTGAACATTGACGCAAAAACTGTATAAAAACTGTATAAAAACTGTATAAAAAGATAAAACTACATAAAAAGATAAAACGGGTCTAATTACTTCTTATCTAATGATCAAATATTGCATAAATAGATTAAAAGTTTCTTATTACGAATAAATAATAAAAAAGATGAAACGTTTGTTACGAGTTCTAATCTAGTAATGATCAAAATTTGCATAAAAAAACAAAATGTTTCTTATTACTCCTAATTTTATAATCTTATTTTAACCATCAATGCCATAATCTTGAATTACGCTTATAAATAATAATTATACAAAATACTAAAGTTCTATCGACATGCATCAAGGATTTGATGAAATGCATCCATAAAAGGACTAGTTAGTATTAACTGATATAAACTGACAGGAATAATTACTATGGTCTACTTTTTTATTTACAAGAATTTCAACTTTCGACCTGATTAAAGACATTCTGATTTAAATAATATTCTAAGACAAAGTGTTTTAAGGTAATAGCTACTACAGTAAGGGTGGCGACCATATGGTTTGCCAGGTGTAGAGGTAGTTCGTCGGGCTAGGCCGTAATGACAGTCATAGAGATTACTTTGCTAGCAGTATGGGTCGTTCCTCGTTCGTCTGGCGGCCATAGGATTACTTTGCCAGCAGTATAGGTCGTTCGTATGCTAGTATTGGTTAACGTCCTTTTCAACCTAATTAGGTGGTATCGTAAGCTAATGTTTCTGAAAAAGGGTAATTCGCAGCCCTCACCCCCAAACCCACCAGGTAACTAAAGGGTAATTCACAGCCCCGTCTCCGTAACTAAAGAGTAATTCGCAGCCCCCTTCCCCGTAACTAAAGAGTAATTCGCAGCCCCCATCCCAGTAACTGTGCTGTGAGATATCGTGTACTTGCAATCTTTTTGAATAATGATCATGGTCTAACTCAACCAAAACTAACATTATTCTGGTAGCCAATCAATGTTTTCAAACGTTATATTTGATAAATATGGAGGTTTGTAAAGATAAAAGAACCCAGTTTATACAGAGGACCGCCAAATAGTATGTTTGAACTCTACACAGACTGGAAGTTGGTTTTTATTTTTATAAAGTAACAGGGATATTTTCTACTTTAAGTACTTTTGACTTTCAGTATGTCCGAGATATAATGTGAAAGATATGAGACAGGATATACATAGCTAAATAAAAGTCACCACCGTAATTTATAATATTCTGACATGTTAAATAAAGTTGTAAATTTATAAGTTGAAAGTTTTATTGTAGTGACATGTGTGACTACCAGACACGTCCCGAGTTTATATTGGATCAACCAGGACAAGTGGCTTTCATTTCATATAACATTATTGTTATTAATTCATAAAACAAAAACAGCCACGCCCAGCTTTTGTAAGACAAGACGCGTGGCCAGGTGAATGGATGCGCGGACCAGCCACAATCGTCCGCAGCGTTTTACAGTCCCCAGTCTGTAGTCATACAGACTTCACTCATAAACATTAAAAAAATAAATAAGTAAAAAATAAAACTTGCATCACATTTTGGAACGTCAGAAGATCACAATAACATACGATTACATGTGAAGAAAAAGGTCAAAGTTTTGCAGAAAATTAAATGAATACACAAACCCTTAATATCAACTGGGGGCATCGAATGTTTGAAAAAACGCCAATTGGTATAAATTTAATTCTACAAATTACAAATATAGCAAATATACCGAGGCGTCTATATCATAACATAAAATGTAGTTATGGATATTCTAATGTGGCGTATAATTTAGATATTAATATAAATATAATAGCTGTTTGACGTAGTTTTAAGAGATATCTGATAGTGTTGTCTTTGTTGAAAAGATCTGCCCGAATATACATGACCAATTTGACCCGCAATACTTTTATCTTTATAGGTTACGTATTTAACATATCTTTTATATAAACACACGATTATTGTAAACGACCTACTAAGATTGGGATTCTGGGGAGAGAGAGAAAGAGAGAGAGAGAGAGAGAGAGAGAGAGAGAGAGAGAGGGAAAGGGTTGATATATTACAAGACATTATTTATAGTAGGCTGTCTTCATCCCAGAGAGATAGATTAACGTACATTCGATATAAAGACGGTCATTTCGGGACTAGTGTAATTATGTTTTATTTTACTAATTGGCTTGCAGAGGGAGGATCCGGAGGCTAGGAAAACGACCCACTCTTCGTCACGTATACAAACCACGCCACTTGACTCAATGACTGACCCCGTCGTCTAGATCGGACGCGTTAGAAGACCAGTCGACCACGCACTCGGCCACCCTTATATGCTGGTGAAATGTACAATAAAATGAAACATGGACACAATTAACCTCACAGGAACACAATCAGATAGATATTCTCACAGAACATATACAAATACAGAAATACTTGTCCTAATTCTCAACATTCTATAGCGTTATGAACAGGTATGGAATAATACATAATTACTGATTATTGACAACAATTGTCACCTGTGAACAGGTATGGCATAATTTATAATTACTGATTATTGACAACAACTGTCACCTAATGTATTTCCAGATCAATTACTAAATGCCATTCATTAACCATTATTCCCCAACATGAAATTCAAGATTATAGATATTTCCCTAATTTTCCTACCAAATTCAACATTATGGATATTTCTATAATACTAATTTCATTTATTTCGGGCTGTATTTATTTGCCTTCTGAGAATGTGTATCTGTTTCAGAGATTATAATGTGCATCTACTGTCTGGTTCGGGTAGTTTGTTCCGTCACTGTTTTGTGTCGCAGTTTTCATTACTTATAACCTCGTCTCAAGATGGTCGCAACATGGAACGTGGTACATTAAATTACGTCTTATTGAAAAAATACATTTCTTTTTTACAAGAAATAAATCTAAGACCAAGGACAAATAGCCGCAACATGGAACGTGGTATTTTAGAACGCGTCTATATATCGACATTCGTTTCGGAAAAAAAAATTACATTACTTTTTTTACAAGAAATATACCTTAAAACTACTATATGGGTTAAATTAGTACAGCTATCGCACCAAGGACAAATAGTGACAACATGGAACTTGGTATTTCAGATCGCGTCTATATCCAAATTCGTTTCGGAAAAAAAATACGTTACTTTTTTACAAGAAATAGACTTTAGACCTATACCCTTAGAACTACTGTATGGGTTTAATTAGTACGGTGGGTGGTATTTGGTGGCTTAATTCTACTGACGTCAGAAAAAAATACATAATATAACTCGGGTTTAATGAATTTGTAATATAAATTGGAAATTATCTTGTTTCAAATAAAAATACTAGAACTTACCGTTATCTTTTCCATATCCCCAAGAAGCCATTGTGATGTTATAAAATACTGGTATTCCGTTGAACGTCTGCTAAACTTTCCTCAAATCTGATGAACTCGTGCTACTACTCAACTATCAATGAATCGTCTGCTGGTGTTTCACGTTCAACCTACAAACATATATACACACATGTCACGTGACTTCATCTAGATGTGTTAGTCACGTGACTGTTAATCTATGTAACGTACAGACATATAGACATACATAATAGTTATACCATATGATTGATGGACGCGCTTGTCATCGTTTATTCACACTGATGAAGGTTGAATATTTGGGTATCGAGATTTCAATAGTGATTAGTGTCGCATATCCCCCGACCTCAACCCTTTGGCCCCAAACAACAAATTTACAAGTTTGATATACACAGAATAAAACGTCTTTGTTTTGTATATTGTTATTTTGGTTTCGATTACCCGGTTGTACGCGGCAAGGAGTAGGGGTCGCCTGTCCAACCTCGTGGGTTTTCTCCGGGTCCTCCGGTTTCCTCCCACTGCTAAAGACACCTACGCGCAAGCGAATTATTGAAATAAAATTAAACCATATGTTAGTCCCGAAATGACCTAGTTTGTGTCGAATGGACGTTAAACCCCATTTCTCTCTCTCTCTCTCTCTCTCTCTCTCTCTCTCTCTCTCTCTCTCTTATATTGTTATTTGTGGGGGGTGGGGGTAGAGCGCCCCGTATGGACCCGCCACTAGTTTATTACACACCTCCGTGGTACATTGAAATTTATACAATTATAAAGCATCTAGTACCTATTTTACAGTTTCAAAAACAAGGTTTCAACTAGAAGTGATGACGCGCTTGAAATAACGAACTACATGAATACATTCAACAGTTAGAACCATGATAAACAACATGGCTAAATAGATTATATCAAATAATTATATATTTATATATACACATTTATATTCCTCAATGATTTCAATCTAAATAACAACATTAATCAAATGGGGTTTAACGTCCTACTTTTCTGTTTCTGACATGGTGCAGGACGGAGGGGCTGACAAAGACAGCTGTCAAGTCGTTCGGATGGGACGAAAAACCGAGAACCTGTGTATACATTGGCTTGCTTGTAAAAGATCCCTTGGCAGTTGGAATTCGATATAAAAGTAGGCCTTAGTGCCGCTGCCCGGGCGCAATTACGCTCATAGCACACTGTATGGCTATGCCCATCTTCATTAGCCCAGTTGGTACAGAACAGTAGGACGTTAAACCCCATTTCATTTCATTTCATTTCCAACTTTTCTGCACCAACTAGGCTGTTGAAGATGGGTATACGTCACGCTGAGTGCTGTGATGGTTGGAGGGTCATTGTGTACGGATCAGTGGCGGTTCCGTCTGACTTTCATCAAACCCCAACACCATCGTGTAAACTGGACCTTCGACTTAATGAGTCGGCACATTAATACTCATAAAGACACCATGGTCCCCTTGAATGTTTTGTATTCAAGTGTTTAAAAGCACTAGAAATAATGCAGTTCACTTCAAATATACCATGTAATTATACTGTGGATCTAATAGTCTATTTATTTTATATAAAGTGTAATTAAACTGTTTATTTTGTATCTATAATTAACAGATTCCACTACATGCATATCGGTTTATTTTATATAACATGTAATTAAACTGTTTATAATTAACAAATTTAACTAAATGCATATCGGTTTATTTTTATATAACATGTAATTAAACTGTTTATAATTAACAAATTTAACTAAATGCATATCGGTTTATTTTTATGTACAGTGAATTATATTGACGGGGTGTATGTATATTTCATCACCCATGCTGGTCACACGTGCTAGATATATTCATATATTACCTGGTCTATATTTCATATACCACCACGTGTATGAGAAATAACCATGTGTAGTATAAAGGAAAGATTTAAACCAGTCTTAATTTCAGATATATCACATATTAGATATATCCACGGTAGCCGCGGTGACTCAATCAATAAGATGTTGGTTCATTGACAAGAAGGTATGCTCGTATTCGTTATCCCGGTCAGTGCAGAAAAGTAGGACGTTAAACAACATTTGATTTCAGATACACCCACGGTATAACGGTGCGCGGAAAAAAAGTCACAGTAAAAAAGTCACAAATTTGCCTAGGTAAAAAAAAACACATGAAAAAAAATGTCACAGTTTTTTTTATTACAGCTCAAATTCAATAACAATATAAACTACATATTTACAATAACATACATATTTAACCTTTCATTACACAGATGTAACCAGACTGTTTTAGTCTTTAGAAATCAGCACATTTTGATATCATAGCACATTTGATGTATTAGCACATACGGAATATCAGCACATCTGACATTTTAATACATTATAGCACATTTGACATATCAGTACATCAGACATTTTAGCACATTCTAGCTCATTCAACATTCTAGCACATCAATACTCTTTGTTAATACTAATGTTCCATCCAACTCCATGTAAGAATTCTGGGATGGATTTGGCACCGCTGACACGATCTCTGCAAAGATTTCGTAGTTGTGTCTGCATCTTTACAAACTCTACAATACAATATATATAAGTTGTGACTTTTTTACCTGTGTTTTTTTACTGTTTTTTTTACTGTGACTTTTTTACCTGTGACTTTTTTTCCTAGATTCGGTATAACTAATATTGGCCGGTCGATTATTTTCATATTTACCCCCATGTTTATAAGATATATCCACGATATACATTGTATTGTCCGGTCTATATGTCATAATATAACACCAGACTATATTTATTAACCTGAGATATCATATATATCACCATTAGATATATCCATGGTATCATTAATGATATTGCCCAGGGTATATATCATATTTACCATCCCTTTTATTAGATATATCCATAATATAAACGATATTGCCCAGTTTAAATATCATATTTACCACAATGCTTATTTGACATGGTATAAATAATATTGCCCATTCGATGTTGATTAGATATATCCATGGTATAAATGATATTGCCCATGGTATATAATAAATTACCCCAGATATATCCATGGTATAAATTATATCGCCCAGTTTTTATATTATATCGAAACATTCAAATATTGCACACTGAAAACAAGTCTTTATTTCAGAGTATGACATCATCATCTACCGTGAGAAATTATTCACCGACGACATGTAGTGACAGACATTCTCAATGAATATATGAGGTTTAACGTTCTACTGTGTCATTCTTTAAGTAGACAGAAACTAATCTTCTAAAAGATATTTTTAGACATAATATGAAACCCAGAAATATTAATCAAAAAATTCAAAAAACAATATAGATGCAATAAAATCTGACACTCACCACGAGCCACAGTTTAAAGGTTGTTTTTATATAATAAACAATAAAACTATAGGAACGATTGTATTGTATTAAATCCACAGTTTAAAGGTTGTTTTTATATAATAAACAATAAAACTATAGGAACGATTGTATTGTATTAAATCCGGGAGTCTGTAGAATGATTTAACAAATTATGACATGACTTGTTGTAAGTGTTTTAACATGGTATGACAATGTTCGTGAATATGTTTGTTTTAGACTGTGATTGTTGAATAGATTTCACATCAGTACATGAAACATGTTTTTATAACAACTCAGCTACTCGCAATATGTTGTTACTATGAGCAATATAAAATAAATGAAATGAAAGGGGTTTAACGTCCTACTGTTCTGCTCCGACTGGGCTAACGAAGACGGTCATACAGTGTGCTATGAGGGGAATTTTGCCCGGGCAGCGGTACTATGGCCTACTCTTATATCGAATTCAAACTCCAAGGGATCTTTTACGTGCATGCTCATGTATACACGGGTTCTCGATTTTGATCGTCCCATCCGAACGACTTGGCAGTTGTCCTTGTCACGCGCTCCGTTCTGTGCCACTGACAAGGGGAAACCACGCCAGAAAATCCCGATGCAATATAAAATAAGTTAGGATGTCATAAGCCTGGATACATTCTCTTAAAATAAAAAACAAAACAAACAGTAACCTAAATTTCACTTTGCTAGTCTCAAAATAACGTATGTCGACTTACAAGTTTAAAGGACACGTGTATCTCTCGGTCGAGTTGATAATACTAGATAAATAATCAAACTTACAAGTTTAAAGGGTCAATAACACTCTTGCTGGCTTGATAGCTCCAGTAAATAAATATTAGCCTTATTCTAAGTACTAGATGTGTTAGTGTCCTACCTGTTGTGTAAATTGTCCATTAAATCCTATTTTACTTGTCCAGAGGGTTCAAAAATATTTTTAAATACAAGTCACATTTAAAAAAGCATTACGTCAGGCTTTTCAAATCATTTAGTTGATTTTTTCCAATCTTTTAAATTAGGTGTGTTAAGATGAAATTTGTATCATCAATTAATTGGAATATTGTAAAACAAAGAATAAAGATTGGGACATATTATTCAGTTACAACAAGCGTGGTATTGAGCCTTTAAAGGGGGTGAAATAAATGTCAATAATACACAGGGTAGAGGGCGGAATCCCGTTTCCCATTCACAGCCTTGCCCACACCCCTTCCCACACCTTACCCCTGAACTACAGGCCTGCATGAATAGCCAAGGCTTTACGTACACACGTGTAACCACATAGTATAAGCAACAAGTTTTTCGGACGGTACGTAAAAAGGAGGATCAAATGTACACATTGACGTGCACGTAAAAGAACCCTTGACAGTTGGAATTCGATATAAGAGTAGGCAGTTAGGCCTCTGTTTGGGCAAAATTCCCCTCATAGCACACTGTATGGCGTATGCCCGTCTTCATTAGCCAAGTCGGGGCAGAACAGTAGCACGTTAAGCCCCATTTCATTCCTATAACCAACATCTAGAGTGAACAATATTGTCAGTCCTTTACATTTCTATAGATAAATTTATGTTTTGTGTGAGAACAATGTCGTAACTGACGTAATGAGATGCAGACACATAGTCAGGGCGACAGTTTTATAACTTATCTTCTTCGTCCAACAACTATTTTATAACCTTTTGTTAAAATTTTTAACCATTAATAAAACAAATGAATATTTACGCATGAATTCGTCACCATAGTGGTTTTATTTTAAAACAGACCGATTATATGGGTTTTATAATT